TTGCAGATCTGGAGTAGTGATGGGGAAGGGGTCAAGACCAGGCTGGTGGAGCCTACAGAAGCAGCTGACCTGAACAAGGGGGAGCTCATGGACCCCAGATGGATGGCTGAGAGGCCAGCACGAGACTGATCCAGATCCCTGGAATGTGGATGTTAGTGAGAAGGCCTTAGCAATCTATGGGGCCTCTGGTAGTGGATCCTTATTTATTCTTGGCATACAATGGATTTTGGGAGTCCATTCCATGTGGAGGGATATGCTCTCAGCCTGGACACATAGGGGAGGGCCTGGGCCTTGCCCTGGATGATATGACAGACTTTGGGGACCCCCATGGAGTGGAGGGAGGATGGGATGGAGGGCTGGTGGAGGACAGGGAAGGAGGGGAGGGAAAGGGAGTTGGGATTGACATATGAAACAGGCTTGTTTCTAAGTTAAATAAAAAATAATAAAAGAAAATGAAAGAAAACAGGCTATGAATTTGAGTGGCAGCAGAAGGGACAAAGTATTTGTTAGAGTAGGGAGAGGAAGGGCAGGAAGTAATATAAATACAGTACTCATTCATGAAATTCTCCATCAAAGGTAGCTCCTGTGTGACTAGAATAAAAGGTGGGAAATTAGAGAAAGTACCATAAAAGAATGGAAGGGGGAGTTCAGTTTAATAGGAAATAGCAGGTAAGTGTAGACAAAGAAACACAGTGTGGAACAGGTGAGTCCCAATGAAATACTCACAAAGACATTATATGGAAATGGATGATATAGAACACTAATTAAAATACAAAGATATGCCTTTTCAAAATATCTCTTGTGCAGACAAAGATAAACCACCATCGTTCTGCAAACCAGAAGAACATCATACAGAGAGAAGTGAGTGCCAAGGCCGATGGTCAGAGGTCCAGTAGCAGACCATGCCCAAATCATAACAAAGTGGCACAGCACATCCTTATATTTTTGCAAATGTTTATATTTTCAGGGATTCATGTTTGAATTAAAAGCCGTGCCCTAGGGTGGTTTGATGTCTTTAGAAGGATGCTATGTAGTATAGAGTAGAATTAGATTGCTGTATTCAGCATAGCATATATGAACTAACTGGTCAGATAAAAATGGCCAAATTTAAAAGAAAAATAGTAAATTATAAGGAGTAGATAAGTATATATTTAATCAAGCAAATAAAGAGAAATGTGCAATATGGGGATGTAAATGGACTTGGTTTTCAGAAGCTGGTCCTGTCCAGATTCATGCATTGTAGATTTTAGAATCTCTAGGAAAAGGAATATAGTGAAGTAAATATATTTCTCTTGAGAGAATTTTGACATTCATGGGAACCTAGTTTCTCTGGACTTCATATTGCAAAGTGCCAATCAATGTGGTGGGAAAGTAATTAGCTCACTGAATTTTTACATTTTATTATAATTACATAATTACCCCTTCCTCATCCTTCTGCCAAACTTTCAACATACTGATCCTTGCTTCCATTCAAATTCATGGCCTCATTAAATCATTAATTCTTGTTACATGACTGTGTGTGTGTTTTAAGGTACTTGTAATCATTAAATTTATCACACTGGAAAGGGGAAAATATCTATTACAATTGCATGGTTCATTATACAGGGAATTGTTTTGACAATTCCTAAATAAATGCCAATAAAACAATACAATATGTAAATAGCATGAATTATTCTCTGTGGACTTTCTTTTTTATTATTATTATTTTTTTATTTTCCATTTTAAATTTAGATAAGAAACAAGGTTGCTTCACAAGTCAGTTCGAGATACCTCTCCCTTTCCCTCCCCTCCTCCCGTGTCCTCCCCCCATCCCCCCCCTCTCTGTGGACTTTCTAAGCTAATGATGAATAACAGTTTTATCAATGGAGACTTTCTAAGCTAATGATGAATAACAGTTTTATCAATGGAGACTTTCTAAGCTAATGATGAATAACAGTTTTATCAATGGAGACTTTCTAAGCTAATGATGGGTAACAGTTTTATCAATGGACTGAGGAATCCTATCCTTGTATTCTCTGTAAACTATAAAGCCAAGGAAGAAACTAAATGTACTGTTTAAACTCTTTAGTATTAATAGATACAATGTCATGGAATAAAAATAGTTTCATTTTACTCGTATATTTTTTGCTATATTTAATCTTATCTCTCAGTTGGGTTTGTCCAGATAAACCATTCTGTGGTGACTTTTGATTTTTCAGGCCAGAGTTAAGTACAAAAAAATGGTACCCTAGAGGTGCTGAATCAAGGTTTGTAGAGAATGCTGGGATTACAGTTCAAGACTTTACAGTTCAATTTGGACATTCCATAGTCCAGAAGGTGCAATTCTAACCATTTTAACTGGTAACCCAGTGTCTTGAGCACGTGGCTGCTAAGACTCCCTTTCCTCCATTTGATTCTAACATGCCAAGGATATTGATCACTGTACAAAATAGTAGGGTTCTTTGGAATCCCCTGGTTGTGAGCAGGAAACTAACTCAGCAGGAAATTTCCTTATAAGAAAATTTAGAAATACCCTGAAACCTCTTAAAAACCTGGGCCCCCATCCAGATCACATGGGTCCACCTTTCTAAATTACCAAAACAGTAGGTTAGTAAAACTCCAGTGTGATTCTCTTGGCAGATGCAATTCACCAGAAAGGGGCTGTCTGACATCACCTGGCTTTTTTTTTTCTGAGACAGGGTTTCTCTGTGTAGCTTTGGAGCTTATCCTGTCACTTGCTCTGTAGACCAGGCTAGCCTTGAACTCACAGAGATCCTCTTGCCTCTGCTTCCTGAATGCTGGGATTAAAGGCTTTTTTCTTCCTAAAAGTTGACGTCTTGCACCTCCCACTCATCTTTCTGAACTCCCATTACGTTTGCCTTTCTGTTTCTTTCAGGGAAACCTTGACATCCTTCTGTTGAAGAGCCTGAGGAGACAGTTCAGTTGCTACAGCTCCTGAGACAAAAGCATGAGGACCCGGGTTGGATCTCTACAACCCATGGCTCACACCTGCAATACCAGAGCTAGAGAGAGGGGGCATCAATGAGACTCACTGGTCAGACAGTGCAGCCTAATGGATGAGATCTAGCCTCCCCCCAACACACACACACACACACACACACACACACACACACACACACACACACACACACACAGAGAGAGCTTGAAAATCTTGTGTTGAACATTTGCTATTGATCTGATACTTTTCACATTTCTATGAAAAGTAATATTTTCCTTTTAGTCACAGACATATCTGAGAACTTAGTGAGGTAAGGCTGTTTGCTCACACAGAGTTCGTTCATAGTCTAAAACCTGAAACACGTTACTACTCCTTTTAAAGGATGCACGAGCAACTAGAACGAAGGCATTGCTTCAAAGTTTGCTTCTTGTAACTTTAAGACCAATAAGCATTTTCAGTTGATCTCAGGTCTTGTCCTAATGTATTTTTTCTGAGGAAACACTTTCCTAAAATCTCCTTAATCTAGGAAAGGAATTAACAAGGGGCACCCTGTAGAATCTTAAATCTTCCAAGAAACTAGATAGGGCATTCTTTTTCTTCTCTCTCTCTCTCTCTCTCTCTCTCTCTCTCTCTCTCTCTCTCTCTCTCTCTCTCTCTCTCTCTCTCTCTCTCTCTCTCTCTCTGTGTGTGTCTGTGTGTATGTATGTGTTTCTGTTTGTTTTGATAGAGAGGCATGTGCAGCCAAGTATGACATTCAGCTCCTGAACCACCTGGCTCCATCCCCTGACTGCTGGGATTACAGGCTCATGACATCACACTCAGAAATCTTCCTATCTCACAATCTATGAAAAGAACGACACAGAATCCAGGATGCCAGTCTAATACTCCATTAGACTTTGGAGAAGACATAGACACATGTTGTCCTTGATTTTTTTTATTTTCAATTAGGTAAAAGGATGTTGATGTCTGTTATATTTGTTCTTTAAGGATGGTGTAAATAAAGAAGTGCACATTATTGTAAAGTCTTTCAAATAATTGCTCCACAAACCATGACTCCATGAAGAACTTTGTTAGAAAAGTACTTTGGGTTTTGGGATGCTCTATCATAAGCCTCTATTTCTTACTACATAACACAGCAGGACAAGTTGTCCTTGGACTCTAGCCTAGGTTTCTGCTTAGATGACATTATGATCTCCAAATATAGGAGTGGAAAGTTTTCTGCTCTCTATAGAAATAATTGGATGAGTATAACAGTAATAAACACAATAATTAATTTCAAAAATAAACTCATTAAGACTGGCTGGATGACTCAGTAGTTAAAAGTGCTTTTTGTGCAAGTAAAAAGACCTGATTCCAGAGCCCGAGAACCCAGGTTGTAAAGACAGACACTGCAGAATGGGTCTGTAATCCCAGGGTTCATACTACAGGACAGGAGGCGGAGACAGAATCCCTGGAAGCCTGCAGTCCAGCTAGCCAGGCATAGGCATCAGTGAACAAGAGGCTAGGTCTCAAACAAAGTGGAAGGTAAGAACCAGCACCTGGGATTGCCTTCTGACCTCCATGAACATGCACACCAGTATTTGTACACATTAACACATGCCTGGGTACACTTTACACACACACATACACACACACACACCCCTCCCTGTTTCTTTCTTTCTTTTTTTCTTTTTTGGTTTTTTGAGACAGGGTTTCTCTGTATTGTTTTGGAGGCTGTCCTGGAACTCACTCTGTAGACCAGTCTGGCCTCGAGCTCACAGAAATCCACCTGCCTCTGCCTCCCAAGTGCTGGGATTAAAGGTGTGCACCACCAATGCCTGGCACCCCTCCCTGTTTCTATCATGTTAACAATGGATGACTATATCTACTAATAGAATCCATTGGTTGACAAGCCTAATCCCCAAACTGTATACAACAATTTCCCAAAAGATCAAGTAAAATTGAATGCACAGGACAGGGCCCAGGGATCTTTCACACAGAACAGACATAGAACAAAACTAATCCTAAAGCAGTGGCTTGAGATTCAGATGCCCACAGCCTGTCTTGCTCTGGGCTTCCTTACTTGACTGGCAGATGTCAGAGGTGGATTCTTCTAAGTAGTTGATTCCATCATCAGAATCCTCAATGCTGAGGTCTACACAAAGGAAAGAAAGTTCTTAAGTGCCTTAGTGTACTCAGACTTTCTTTGAACCACCAGCTCCCAAAAAATGACATAGAGTCTTATTATTAATTATGAACATTTGGTCTTAGCATAGCTCTGAAAATTTAAATTAACATGTTTATGTTTATGTTTATCTGCATTCTGTTATGTGACGGTTTACCTCTCCTCAGTACAGTACACCCAACTTCCTCCGCATCTGACTGGTGAATCCCTACCACTCAGATTCTTCCCAGAGTGCCTAGCAGTGCCAGGAAGTCCCACCTATCCTCTCCTAACTAGCTATTGGCCATTCAGCTCTTTATTAAACCAATCAGAAGCTGCCTTCCATAGGTGAAGTAAAACAGTGACACATTTTCTCACAGTGTGATCAAACATTCCACAGCATCTTAGGGGTGATAGCAGTGACACCCTGCAGGGAACACCTGAGTGTGAACACTAGGAACAGTTAACTCAAGGCTGTACATCGTTCCTTGCAAGGCTGTGAGCCAACAACCTACACAACTCCATGGAGGTGGTCCCTCAGCCACTGACGGGCACCTTGTCTGCACCCTCACTCTGGTTCTCACTTCCCCACACCCTCACCTGTCCCTGTCCTTCACTCCTATCTTACCCCTGAGCTCTCTTCTCGTCTCTGCCCATCACTCCTCTTCCTCATCTGTATCTGGTGATGGACCTCTTGCTCCTTGGAATGCTTCCCTGTCAATCTCTTCTCATACATAACTTTGGTTCCCTGATTTTTTTTCACTCTTCTTAACTCTTACTGCCCCCCTCTCCTCTGCCATCCTGCCACATTCAACTGTTTTCTCTTACTTTAAAAAAAAAACAAACCTGGCCTCAACATTTATCAACCTCCATTTCTCATTTCTGTCTCAATTTTCCCAGTTTCTTCTGCTAAGCTGGAGGTTGGCTTTGGTGGGCCTCTTTCCCTTCCTGACTCCCCCTGGCTATCCAGCTGCCCTGAATGTTGGGAAAAGGGGCCAGCCAAAGAAACATACTCTGAGCAGAGCCAAAGAAACACACTTTGTTCCTGGAATCAGAGCCAGTGAAAGAAATACACCTGCCGGGCAGTGGTGGCGAATCCCTTTAATCCCAGCACTCAGGAGGCAGAGGCAGGCAGATCGCTGTGAGTTCGAGGCCGGGCTAGACCGACAGCCTCCAAAACAATACAGAGGAAACCCTGTCTCGTAAAACCAAAAAAAAAAAAAAAAAAAAAAAAAAAGAAATACACCCTGGCCCTAAAATTAGAGCCAAAAGGCTAAAAAGGACCAGAGAAAGAAACATACTTTGGCCCTGAAACCAGAGCCAAATCTGACCCTAACCTTGTGCAGAAAACTAACCAATCCTCAAGCAGAGCTCTAGCCAATCTGAGCTCAACATTGAAATCTCACCAATCCCCACCTTGAAAGCCCTATATAAACCCTGTGTCTGTTCACCTTGTGTCTGTTCATGCTACCGGCTGTTCTCTGCCAAAATGGAAGAGGGCAGCCACTCTCCTGGATTCTTCCTTCCCAATAAATCCCTTCGATGAGCTTTGGGTGAACATCTTCTTTTGCAACAGAACAGAGACAACCCTGTGCATAGCAGAGCAAGCAGGGCTGTAACACTTTTGCTGGGGGAACCTTCTCCTGGCAGAGGGGAGTTGTTACACTCAGCTCTCCACTCCCAGGAGCAGAGCTGAACTGCAGCAACTTCGCCCCGGAAACCTTCTGCCGAAGCAAAACTGCTACACTGGGCAAATATCCCAACTGGAAGACCCTGTCCTGCTGGAGTAGAGCTGATACACTGGGGAAGCCTTTCCCTGAGGCAGGGCTGTAAGCTGCTATGCTTACTGTGGCCTGTGGTAGTCCTTGGCTCCCGAGCTCCAGGATACCTTTCCATCTGAGCTGTGTAACACTCAGTATTCTGTGACTCCCGAGTGCCAGAATACCTGTTCCACCTGATCCTCCCAAAATGGCCTACACCAAAGGAACCTGATGACATGTCTAAGCCCCTTGCCTGGGAACCTGGAATGATGCTTTCAGTCATCCTTACCTATGGTCTCAGATGCCTGATCGTAGCTGGTCCTTGATTCGGTCTCTTCACCGTCCGAGACAAATGATGAATTTTCCTGCATTATGTCTACCAGATGCATAGAACAGGGATTAATTTGTGTTCCCTGGCTGAGAGTCTCTGATCCATGCCCAAATTACAATGAATGAATTATTTCCAGGAACTGAAGAGACTGTTCAGGCTATAAAGTTTTTACTGTGCAAGCATGAGGACGTGAGTTTGATTACTAGGATCTATGTCAAAAAGACAGACAAGGTGGCATTCATTTGCAAGCACTCAGGAGACAGAGACAGGTGGATCTCAGGGCATTTCTGGCCAGATACCCTGTGTAGACTAGTCACCGAGGTCCAAGATAATTGCAAAGCACAAGACAACCAGAAGCTGACCTCTGGCCCCTGCACACATGTACATGCAGTCCAGTACACATGTGTATACACACACACATACAGAATTCTCATTTAACTCTCTAGAAGATCTGTTTGAATGCCATGATTGGCCCCCTCCCTCAATTTCACTCCCACCCTGTTCTTCCCTTCCTTCCACCCACAGAATCCTTGGAGAGATTGTTGGTTTTGATATTTCAAAGACCCAAAGTGACCAGGCAAGGCAGGACACACCTGCACTTGGAAGGCTGAGATAGGAGGAATGTTAAGCTCAAGGGTAGCCTAGGCTACATAACATGACCCTGTTTCCAAAATAATCAATGAAGAAAAAAATTAAAATTTACCTGCAGTATAACACTCATATATGAAAGTAGGGTTTAAATGGTTGCAAAGACAAACTATCATTTGCTTCACAGAAAACAGATGACCAACACACCAGAGGCCTCTGGGTGACACATTCTACTGTCAAGGACATTCTCAAACTCAACCTGCATCTCCAGTTTCAGGATCTAGATTAATTTTTCTACTACATAATCAATATAAAAGAAATTCTGACCATGTTATCTTTTCTCTCTTTCCAACTATGCCAAACACTCTCACATTTATATACATACATATGTGTGTATATACCTAACATGTACATATTATTATGTTTGTGAGACAATTCTGTATTATTATTTTTGTTGTTATAGAAATATGCTCACTAAGCCAGGCATTACGGGTCCATGCCTTCAATCCCAGTGCTTGGTTCTCTGAGTTCAAAGTCATCCTGGCCTACAGAGCAAGTTCCAGGACAGCCAAGGATACACAGAGAAACCCTTTCTCAAAAAACCAAAAGGGGGGGGTATGCTGAATTGCTCTGTTTCAATTCATTTTTAAAAGAAAAACAGAGCTAGAATCATTCTTTCTTATGTGTGCTTTGAATCATTAGTTTTGAGACAGGGTTGAGTGTAGCCCAGACTGCCTCAGTATGTAGCTGAGGATGACCTACAATTCCTTTATCCCACTTCCTCATCCTGAGTGCTGGGACTGAGGCCTGGGTATTTTGCCCTGCCTTTCCTATGTCTTTTGATTAACGCACATTTCTCCTCTTCTCTGCTGAGGAATGTAATTGTTGAGCTCTGAGATAAGTATGTTTTCAAACTTAAGAGATTATATCCAGCTGCTTCCTCAAATCACATGTTTTCTAGAACCAGCAGAAAAGAGGCAGAGCATAGCAAAAGCAAGAACCTAAAGACAGAAGGTGTGGTGGGATGTGCTGTCAGGATAAAGACAAGGGATGGGGACAGGAGCAGGGCCACCAACCTTCGGTGTCACAGTGACAGTGCAGACAAGTGCCCAGGGCTCCAGAAGGCATTGGGACTAAAAGCCAGACAAAATGGTTTGCACATACTTTTACTTTATGTAGGTGATTGATTTCCCTGCGTGGTAGTTTGTGTATGCAGCATCCAAGGAGGTCAAAAAGGGTGTCAGATTCCCTGGGTCTGGGTTAGAGATGGCTGTGGGTGGTAGGAACCAATCCTGGTTCCTCTGCTAGAGCAGCTAGATTTCATAGTCACCGAGTCACCTCTCCAGTCTAATTCTTTTTTTGGAATTTGGTTTTTTTTGGGGGGGGGCAGAAGACAAGAGATTTGAAGGGAAAACATGGGAGGGCAAAGCCAAACAAAAACCTTTCTGGTTTAAGGGAGGGGGACTTGGTCCTACATGGGTGGCTGGGCACAGAGGGCAGGCTCAACACAGGGCAGGCTGGAGATGGTGAAACTTGTAATTAAAGCAAATAAGGGGAGCGAAGCTGTGAAGCACTAAGCTGGTGGGTGTGTGTTACATTACTGAGCAGAAGATGCCAAAACAGCTTAGGTCTCTGGACCTTGGAAAAATGAGCCAAGAGGACAGGCCTGGGCCGGAGATGTGTGCTTAGGAAGCTGCAGATGTTATTCAGCTTTCAATGCCTCTTGTAATCTGAGGGCATTACAATGTCATTATGCTCAGGGGACATCTTATCCTTATCAATGGAAGTGACATGTTAGTTTCTCCCCTTTTCCACAACCCATTTGGCTAATTTTCCACTCTCAGTCACTTTATGCCTGGCCCATTTTACTCTATTTCTTTATATTTGTTTACTTCTCTATATTTCTCTGCTTATACTATTTCTCTGTCAATGTTTTTTTACACTGGTTAATGGATTGATTGATTATGTTTCCTTATAAGGCATGTGTGCACGTACCACAGCAAGTATATGAAGTCACAAAACAAAAGTGGGGGTGGTTTCTCTCCTTTCACCAAGTAGACTTAGAGGTCAAATTCAGGCCATCATCACTGGCTAATACCTCTCCAGGTCCCCCAGTATTTTCAAAATCATTTTATTCAAGAGCCTGGACTCTGGTGAGGCAGAGGCAGTGCTTTGAGCATATGACTAATGAGGTGAAGAATAGAGAGAGAGAGAGAGAGTGAAAGAGATATGCAGCCAAAAATGACCTCGAGCTCCTGAACCTCCTGGCTCCATTCCCTGACTGCTTGGATTAGAGACTTATGACATCACACTCAGAAATCTTCCTGTCTCACCATTTATGAAAGGAATGACTAAGAACCCAGGATGCTAGTCTAATACCTCATTAGACTTTGGAGAAGACTTAGACACATGTTGTCTGCGATTGGGTTTCTTCAATTAAGAAAAAGGATGTTGATGTCTGTTCTACTTGTTCGTTAAGTGTGATGTAAAGAAAGAAGTGCATGTTATTTGTAAGGTCTTTCAAATAATCACTCATTGAACCATAACTCCATGAAGAACTTTGTTAGAAAAGTACTTTGGGATTCAGGATGTTCTATCTCAAGAATTTATTTCTGCCTATATAAGGTAGCTGGATGAGTTGTACTTGGAATCTAGGCTAAGTTTCTGCTCAGAGGACATTATGATCTCCCAATACAGGAGTGGAAACCTTTCTGCACTCCATAGAAATCATTGGATGAGTCTAACAATAATAAACTCAATAACTAGTTTAAAAAAGAAACTCATTAAGACTGGCTGGCTGGCTCACTAGTTAAAGTGCTTTTTGTGCAAGCAAAAGGACCTGATTGCAAAGCCCCAGAACACAGGATATAAAGTCAGACACTGAAGAATGGGTCTGTAACCCTGGGGTTCATACTGCAGGACAGGAGGCTGAGACAGAATCCCTGGAAGCCTGCAGTCCAGCTAGCCTGGCATAGGCATCAGTGAACAAGAGGCTAGGTCTCAAACAAAGTGGAAGGTAAGGACCAGCACCTGGGATTGTCTTCTGACCTCCATGAACATGGACACTGGTACTTGTACACGTTAACACATGCCTGGGTACACTTTACGCACACACACACACACACACACACACACACACACACACACACACACACACCTCCCTGTTTCTATCATGTTAACAATGGATGACTATATCTACTAATAGAATCCATTGATTGACAAGCTTAATCCCCAAACTGTCTGCAACAATTTCCCTGCATTTCCCAAAAGATCAAGTAAAATTGAATGCACAGGACAGGCCCCAGGGATCTTTCACACAGAACAGACACAGAACAAAACTAATCCTAAAACAGTGGCTTGAGATTCAGATGCCCACAGCCTATCTTGCTCTGGGTTTCCTTACCTGACTGGCAGGTGCCAGAGGTGGATTCTTCTAAGTAGTTGATTCCATCATCAGAATCCTCAATGCTGAGGTCTACACAAAGGAAAGTAAGTTCTTAAGTGTCTTAGTGTAGTCAGACTTTCTTTGAACCACCAGCTCCCAAACAATGACATAGATACTTATTAATTATGAAAGCTTGGCCTTAGCTTAGGCTTATCTCCAACTAGCTCTGAAAACTTAAATTAACCTGTTTATGTTAATCTGCATTTTGCCCTGTGGCTCATTATCTGTCCTCAGTACAGTACACCCAACTTCCTCTGCATCTGACTGGTGAATCCCCACCACTCAGATTCTTCCCAGAGTGCCTAGCAGTGCCAGGAAGTCCCACCTATCCTCTCCTAACTAGCTATTGGCCAGTCAGCTCTTTATTAAACCAATCAGAAGCTGCCTTCCATAGGTGAAGTAAAACAGTGACACATTTTCACACAATATGATCAAACATTCCACAGCATCTTAGGGGTGATAGCAGTGACACCTGGCAGGGAACACCTGAGTGTGAACACTAGGAACAGTTAACTCAAGGCTGTACATCGTTCCTTGCAAGGCTGTGAGCCAACAACCTACACAACTCCATGGAGGTGGTCCCTCAGCCACTGACGGGCACCTTGTCTGCACCCTCACTCTGGTTCTCACTTCCCCACACCCTCACCTGTCCCTGTCCTTCACTCCTATCTGACCCCTGAGCTCTCTTCTCGTCTCTGCCCATCACTCCTCTTCCTCATCTGTATCTGGTGATGGATCTCTTGCTCCTTGGAATGTTTCCCTGTCAATCTCTTCTCATACATAACTTTGGTTCCCTGATTTTTTTCACTCTTCTTAACTCTTACTGCCCCCCTCTCCTCTGCCATCCTGCCACATTCAACTGTTTTCTCTTTCTTTAAAAAAAAAAACAAACCTGGCCTCAACATTTATCAACCTCCATTTCTCATTTCTGTCTCAATTTTCCCAGTTTCTTCTGCTAAGCTGGAGGTTGGCTTTGGTGGGCCTCTTTCCCTTCCTGACTCCCCCTGGCTATCCAGTTGCTCTGAAGGACCATGAGGACACATCTAAGCCCCTTGCCTGGGAACCTGGGATGATGCTTTCAGTCATCCTTACCTATGATCTCAGATGCCTGATCGTAGCTGGTCCTTGATTCGGTCTCTTCACCGTCCGGGGCAAATGATGAATTTCCCTGCATTATATCTACCAGACGCACAGAACAGGGTGTAATTTGGGTTCCGTGGCTGAGTACCCCTGCTTCAGGGCCAAATTACAATGAATGAATTATTTTCAGGGACTGAGGAGACGGTTCAGGCTGCAAAGTGTTTGCTGTGCAACCCTGAGGACCTGAGTTGATTCCCAGGATCCATGTCAAAATGTCACATAAGGTGGCATCTATTTGCTGTCCCTACACTCAGGAGCTCAGGAGACAGAGACAGGTGGATCCCAGGGTATCACTGGCCAGATAGCCGGTCTAGACTAGTCATCGAGGTTCAGGCCAAAAAAACAAGCAAGTGAAAGATAACTGCAAAGCAACACAGCCTTTGGTTGACCTCTGTCCTCTGCACACATGTACATGCAGACCAGCACACACAGGTACACACACACACACACACACACACACACACACACACACACACACAGAATTCTCATTTAACTCTCTAGAAGATCATGACTCCATGAAGAATTTTGTTAGAAACAGCACTTTGGGATTCGGGATGTTCTATCTTAAGAATCTATTTCTGCCTACATAATGTAGTTGGATGAGTTGTACTTGGATGCTAGGCTAAGTTTCTTCTCAGAGGACATTATGATCTCCTAATACAGGAATGGAAACCTTTCTGCTCTCCATAGAAATCATTGGATGAATCTAACACTTAATAAACACAATAATTAGTTTAAAAGACAAACTCACTGAGGCTGGATAGATGGCTCAGTAGTTAAAGTGCTTGTTGTACAAGCATAAAGGCCTGATTCCAGAGCCCCAGAACCCAGTATGTAAAGTCAGACACTGCAGAATGGGTCCTAGAGTTCATACTGCAGGACAGAAGGCTGAGGCAGAATCCCTGGAAGCCTGTGGTACAGCTAGTCTGGCATAAGCATAAGTGAACAAGAGGCTAAGTCTCAAACAAAGTGGAAGGTAAGGACCAGCACCTGTGATTATCTTCTGACCTCCATTGATGTGCATACCAGTATTTGTACACATTAACACATGCCTGGGTACACTTTACACACACACACACACACACACACACACACACACACACCTCCCTGTTTCTATCATGTTAACAATGGATGACTATATCTACTAAGAGAATCCATTGATTGACAAGCTTAATCCCCAAACTGTCTGCAACAATTTCCCTGCATTTCCCAAAAGATCAAGTAAAATTGAATGCACAGAACAGGGCCCAGAGATCCTTCACACAGAACAGACACAGAACAAAACTAATCCTAAAACAGTGGCTTGAGATTCAGATGCCCACAGCCTGTCTTGCTCTGGGCTTCCTTACCTGACTGGCAGATGCCAGAGGTGGATTCTTCCGAGCAGTTGATTCCACCATCAGAATCCTCAATGCTGAGGTCTACACAAAGGAAAGAAAGTCCTTAAGTGTCTTAGTGTACTCAGACTTTCTTTGAACCACCAGCTCCCAAAAAATGACACAGACTTCTTATTAATTATAAAAAGTTTGGCCTTACTTTGGCATGTTTCCAACCAGCTCTTAAGACTTAAATTATCCCATTTATATTAATCTATGTTCTACCATAAGGTTCATTACCTCTCCTTAGTACAGTAACCCAACTTCCTCTGCATCTGGCTGGTGAATCTCCACCTCTCAGATTCTTCCCAGAGTGCCTAGCAGTGCCAGGAAGTCCTGCCTATCCTCTCCTGCTTAGCTATTGGCCATTCAACTCTTTATTAAACCAATCAGAAGTTGCCTTCCATAGGTGAAGTAAAACAGTGACACATTTTCACACAGTATGATCAAATATTCCACAGCATCTTGGGGGTGATAGCAGTGACACCCGGCAGGGAACACCTGAGTGTGAACACTAGGAACAGTTAACTCAAGGCTGTACATCGTTCCTTGCAAGGCTGTGAGCCAACAACCTACACAACTGGCCGTCTTCGTCATCTGTACCTGGTGATGGACCTCTTGGCCTTTGGTTTATGTCCCTACTCATCTCTTCTCATACTTAACTTTGGTTCCCTGGTTTTTTTTTCTGTTCTTAACTTTTACTCCACCTCCCCCACATTCATCTGTCTTCTCTTTCTCTACAAAAACAAACCCAGCCTCAACCTTTATTACCCTCCCCTTCTACTTCTCATTTCTGTCTTCAATTTTCCCAACTCCTTCTGCTAAGCTGGAGGTTGGATTTCCTTGAGCCTCTTTCCCTTCCTGACTCCCCCAGCTATCTGGCTGCCTCGAAGGACCCCAAGGAGATGCTTGCTGGAACCTGGAACAATACTTTTTTTTTTTTGGTTTTTAGAGACAGGGTTTCTCTGCATTGTTTTGTAGGTTGTGCTGGAACTCGCTCTGTAGACCAGGCTGGCCTCAAACTCACAGAGATCTGCCTGCCTCTGCCTCCAGAGTACTGGGATTAGAGGTGTGCACCAACGCCCGGCTCAAACAATACTTTTAATTATCCTTACCCATGGCCTCAGATGCCTGATTATGGCTGCTACTTGCTTGGGTCTCCTCACCATTCAAGACAAATGATGAATTTTCCTGCTTTATGTCTCCCAAGTTCATGGAGCCTGGATAAACTTGGGTTCCCTGGGTTCGTAGCTGTGGCCCTAGATAAAATTACATTGAATGAATTATTTTCAGGGACTGAGGAGACAGTTCAGGCTGTAACGGGTTTGTTGTGCAAGCATGAGGACATGAGTTTGATTCCCAAGATCCACATCAAAAAGACATATAAGGTGGCATCTATCTGTAGTCCCAGCACTGCAAATAGAGACAGGTGGTTCCCAGGGCACCACTGGCCAGACAGCCTGTCTAGACTAGTCATTGAGGTATGGGTGAAACAAACAAACAAACAAAAAACTGGAGATAACTGCAAAGCACAAGACAACCAGAGGACCTCTGGCCCCTGCACACATGTACATGCAGTCCAGTACACATGTATATACACACACACATACAGAATTCTCATTTAACTCTCTAGAAGATCAATTTGAATGCCATGATTGACCCCCTGCATCAATTTCACTCCCACCCTGTTCTTCCCTCCCTTCCACCCACTGAATCCTTGGAGAGATTGTTGGTTTTGATATTTCAAAGACCCAAAGTGACCAGGCAAGGCAGGGCACACCTGCAACCCCAGCATTTTAAAGACCCTGTTTCCAAAAAATAAATGAATAAAAATTTTAAATTTAAGTGTGTTATAGCATTCATATATAAAAGTGTGGTTTCAATGGTTTCAAAGAGCAGCTATCACTTGCTTCACAAAAAGCAGATGACCAACACCCCAGAGGCCTCTGGGTGACACATTCTACTGTCAAGGACATTCTCAAACTCAACCTGCATCTCCAGTTTCAGGACCTAGATTAATTTTTCTACTTATGTAACCAATATAAAAGAACCCTAACCATGTTGTCTTTTCTCTATTTTCAAATATGCCAAACACTCCCACAATCATATGTGTACATATGTGTATATATACAACTAACATGTACATGTTAATGTGTTTCTGAGACTCTTCTGTATTATTGTTTTGTTGTTACACAAATATGCTCACTAAGCTAGGCAATACAGTTCCATGCCTTTAATCCCAGTGCTTGGTTCTCTGAGTTCAAAGTCAGCCTGGCTTACAGAGCAAGTTCCAGGACAGCCAAGGATACACAGAGAAACCCTATCTCAAAAAAAAAAAAAAGGAGAAAGAAACATACTGAATTGCTCTGTTTCAATTTAGTTTTTAAGAAAAACAGAGCTAGAAGCATTCTTTCTTATGTGTGCTTTGAATCATTAGTTTTGAGACAGGCTTGAGTGTAGCCCAGGCTTGCCTCAGTATGTAGCTGAGGATGGCCTACAACTCTGATTTTCTATCCCTCTTCCTCCTCCTGAGCGCTGGGACTGAGGTGTGTGTATAACGCCCATGTGTCTGGGTGGGGGTGGGTGAAAGGAAACAAAAAGAAAACGTTTGCTATTCTAGAAAAGCAGAGAATAATTTTTAAAACGTGGCAGGACAGAGAAAGTTGGCTTGAAAGCAATCCAGTAGTTATCCCCCAACCCAACCCTCCCCAACATTAGACTGGGCATCTGTATGCCTTCCTAATACCTAAGGGAACCAAGCTAGCGACCATAGCACCTAGATGAGACAAGAAAATAAGAAAAGGTATATTGGGGTTGTCAGAGGGCAACTTTAACAGTCCCTAACCCTAAGGAGTACAGGCTTGAGAGAGACACCTTCCAGCTGAGAACAGGACAGAAAGCCAAGAACCTGGTTTTGCCTTGGACCTCAATGCTATTGCGGTGTCAGGGAACTGAATACTAAGCAGGTCCCTATGAAGTCCAAGCCACTACCTGTGAGATGAGTCTCCAAGCCTATAGTCCTAGGCTCTTGACCAAGGGCTCACCTCAAAATCTAGGCCTAGTTCCTTTATAAAGGAGCAGGGGGGAAATAACTTAAATATACAACAGAAAACTTTCCAAATTTATGCAAGATGTTCATAGCCAGGAAGAAGTCAGAGGTCTCTGCTCTGACTTAAGACAGTCACAACAAATGAGGCTGAGTTCATAATTTGAAATCACCTGTTTAAGAAAAGGGGCCAGGAAGAGATGCCTTCCTATCTGAACGTTAGAATTTATATTGCAATTATAACTCAAAGTGATGGACAGGAACTCACAGCAAACATCAGTACGCAGCAGAGTAGTTTTCCCTTTACAGAAGGTACCCAACCTCAGTGCTTCTACTCAATAGGACCACAGGGAAGCACAAGAAACTCCAATGGGATTCTGCCTCACACCGGTTAGAATGGCTGTCCTCAAAAAGATGAGCGAGAGTCAGTGTTGGTGTTGGTGTTGTTGAGACTCTCTATTTCCTGAGTGGGATGTAAGTGCCTACAGCCATTAGGAAACAACAGTATGGAGTTTCCTCAAAAACCCTGGAAATGGAAGAATCACCTGATTGATTGGACATTCCCCTCTACTGCGCGTGTCTCAGAGCATTACAGCCAGCTTGTTAAAGAGGTGCTGCGTGTGTTACAGCGTGGCAGTCTCTACCTATGGAGTCAGCCTAGACAGCTGCCAACAGCTGGTGAGAATGCAACGTTCGCACAGGAGAGACTCCAGTCAGCCTCAACATGAGGCACTTCAGGTGGCATGTGAGAGGGTCTGACTCAGAGAGAGTAACGCAGGAGTGAGGATGGGGGCGGAGTCCACAGTGGACACAAAATTCCAGTCAGAAAGAGTAAGTTCTAGAAGTCCATTAGTCAACATGGCAAGACTAACTGAGTGCTGAAGAAATCTTTGAGGTTGTGCATTTTAAGTATTCTTACCACAATGTGAGGAAATACACATATTCCCAGTGAATATTTACAACATCATCCCATCTCTCAGATTAAATGTGTGCCTGTGTGTGGGCCTGCATGTGTGTGTGTGTGTGTGTGTGTGTGTGTGTGTGTGTGTGTGTGTGTGTGGCTAGGATTGACCCAAGGACATCACACATGATAGACAAGCATTTCACCACTGACCTACACTCCCAACTCCAAGGACACATAATACTTTTTTCAAAAAGTCAATTTTGAAGATGGTTAAGATTTTTTTTAACGAAGAAAGCTCTACCACACACATACAGAGCATCTGAAAACCAGAGCCAGGAAGGTGCACAATAGTTACTTTCTTCATCCCAGGGCTGTGGGCTGTGAGGCTCCATGGGTGCATCGCTGTTACTCTGGTGGACTTCTAGTTCACAGGACTCTGAAGATGGAAAGGCCACAGGTGAGGTCCCACAGAGCCTTGCTCTTTCCCAGTTTCTGTCTTTATTCCTCACCAGCTGCTCATCTCTTGTTCCTACTTCCAGCCCCATCTGCACACATGGCCATCCCACCCTGAAAGGCATTTGTGCTTCATGATTCCCTACCCAACTCTCCGATTCTTAGCTTCTCTTTTCCCCAGTAAGCTTTTCCCACTCTTCCCCATTTGGGGTTTCTTTTCCTGCTACCCCCTCCAGGTCTCAAAAATGCACCAATTTCATCTTTGTCTCTTTGTGCCTAAGTAGTTTTTTGTTTGTTTGTTTGTTTGTTTCCTTTGTTGTATCAGACCCCAGCCCATTCCTTCGCCCCCACTCAGATCCCTTCATGCTCATACTCAGTTCGTCTTACCCTCTGGCTCAGAGTCTGGGCCTTGACGCATGGCTGCTTGGTCCCTTTCCAGTCCATCAGTGTTGTCACCAGTGGTGTCTCTTCTCCCTTGGTCAGTCTGTTCTTTTCCATAGAGGTCTTCTGAGAACTCATTTTCAGGTAAACTCAGAACTAAAACAGATTTTGTTTCATAAAGATTTTATTTGCCCATTGCATCAGGATCCAATAAGAAAAGAGAAATCCGCCGGGCGGTGGTGGCGCACGCCTTTAATCCCAGCACTCGGGAGGCAGAGGCAGGCGGATCTCTGTGAGTTTCGAGGCCAGGCTGGACCGACAGCCTCCAAAACAATACAGAGAAACCCTGTCTCGTAAAACCAAAAAATAAATAAATAAATAAATAAATAATTAAAAGAAAGAAAAGAAAAGAAAAGAGAAATCCTTCTAAACCCTGAAGACAGAAAGACAGGGACACAGAGAGACACAGAGGATTGAGAACTTGGGGAGGGACAGAAGGAGCCTAGCAGCTAATGACAGGGAGACTGGGTACTCAGAATCTGGAGCAGGGTTGGCCTGCAGAAGGAACTTGGAGCCACTGAGGGGTGGTGGTGCATCTACTGCACACTGAGCCCCAACATAGGACTGGAAGAATCCTGGACTCTGCTTTTCCACTCTCTATGAGCTTTTGCAAATGGCTCTCTTGTCAGGAACACTATAGGAAGCTGGCCTGAAAAAGAAGTTGTCAAGGAAGACAGCAGGGGCTGGAGGTCAGAGGTAAGGGTCAGAGGCAAGCATGGGCCATGTAGGGAAGGAGTCCCAGGGGAAACAGATTCAGGATTGATGCCCTGTCTTCCATTACAGGGAACCTTACTGACCCATGGGGGATTGTGTCTACCCATCCCACTCTACTCCACTAACCTCAATGGTATGTGAATGAATAATACAATTTGCAGTAAAGTTTCATGTTTTTTCATTTAATATTTTCTGCACAAAGTTAAGTTACAGCGAAAATTAACTGAAAAGTTAATTATAGATGTGATATTTTGTTAATGATCTAACAAACAAAACTTGCCTGAAGATTAGATTGCAAAGATAGTCACACTAGTTAGCCATAGAAGCCAGGTAATGGTGTTACACCTTTAATCCTAGCAGCCACACTAGCTAGGCATAGAAGCCAGGCAGTGGACAGAGGCAGACGAATTCTGATAATTCAAGTTCACCCTGAGTTAGAGGAAATTGATCCAGTTTAGAATAGAAACAGAGCTCACACAAAGGTGACCTCAGCAATCGGGATCCCGGGCCTTTATTCCCAACACGAGAGAGGGATATGAGTATAAAGTGTGGGGGATGGGGGCACAGGAACTGAAGAGTCTGAGGAGCAGTGTAGGGAGACCAATCAGAGGTTCGGTGGATCACCCCTTTGGTCTATGCATTGGTAGAGGTGAGAACTGTCAAGTGACTGACTCTTTTGCTTCTCTGATCCTCAGTTTTAACTCTGTTAATCTGTCTCTGAGTTTTTATTATTTGTGTTACAAGCCTTAATATGGAATGTGGGCCTGGGTTATAACCCATGTCTTTTGGGGTCACAGGCATGATTATAGTCCTAACCCCACGTGTGTTCAACACAACCAGTGTCTCTGCTGGGTCAGACTATTGGATATGTATATTAGTGTCTAATTTCCCCCTGTGTCTTATCTAGTTGGTGGGTTGATATTTCTCTGACATCATTAAGATGCCATTTCCTGCTAGGTTTGCTCCAGACTACACAGGCTCACCAACAATTCACCCATTTCTCCTGCATCCCTCCTCCCCACTGCTTCCTGTCCCTCTGCTCATCACTAACCACAATCCCACCCATTCATTGCTTCTTATTCCCACCCTCTGCCCCTGCAAAGGAACAATTAACAATGCAGAATCTTGTATATTGCTATATTTTCAAATGTTAAAAAATTTTAATGCAATATTTTAAGATGTATAACAACTGTTTTAAAAGTCACTCTGAAAAAAATATATATTTTGCTCTGTGTGTGTGTGTGTGTGTGTGCTCGTTTGAACCTGTAAACACTCTATACATCATCTCTCTCAATTTTAGCTTCCTTACCTATAAACTGGGTACCTAAATGATACCGATCCTTGATACCAGCTTGGATAGACCGTAACCAAGAGTAGATGCTAGCCAACGACAAAGACTAGCAGCACAGCTCTCTCTGCTGTTGTCCTTTATTCTTTCTGCTCTCTTTCATTCCTTCCATCTTCCTTTCTCTGCCTCTCAAAGAATCCATGTGCTCGTCCCACATCTCTGCCATTTTCTTGCTGTGTGTCTTCCTCCACATATCTTTCTTCTGCAAAAATGTTGCTCTCAAACAACATTGCTCATGTTTGAATCCTTCTCTTCTGGCCTCGAGTGTCACACTGTGACATACTAAGAAATGGTAGTTTGGGGGCTTCGTCCCCTGTTCCTGGCCAGAGCTCCTCAAATCCTAGTTGAGTTCCCTAGTGATTAATGTGAAAAGTGTCACTCTCCCCATGCCCATAGCCAACCTTCCTCAGTAACACCCCAGGGTACATTGAAGAGGTAAAGTTTGGTAAGGCCTTGGGTATGAAGGGCTGGTTGCCAGGGCAACAAACATGACATCAGCATTGGAATGCTGACCTCCAAGGTGAGAAGAACTAGAAGCTGACTTGATCAGATGGCTTATGATTCCATCAATCAGAAGCTTCATGGTGGAGCTTCTATTTAAAAATCCTAAGGGACTATGTTTAGAGAGGTTTGGGGTTGAAAACTCTGTAGTTCTGTAAGGGTGATGTGCCCAGGGACAGCAAGACAGTGTTATGTTCCCTCCCCATTATTCCTCAGGGTGTTCCTCTCCCATATGGTTATTGTTTGGATGCATATATGTGTGGAGAACAGAGGACAACCATGGATGACCTCTTTGTTTTTTGTTTTTGTTGTTGTTTGTTTTTTAAGAGATGGGGTTTCTCACTGGCCGAGACTTCATCATTTTGCCTGGCCAGTGATTTCAAGGGATCTGTCTGTCTCTGCCTCCCTGTCACTAGGATAATAGCACCTTCCCTATGTCTGAGCTGTTTTTGTACATGAGTTTAGGGGATCAAACTCAAGCCCATGTGCTTGTATGGGCTTTGCCAACTGAGTCACCTTCCTACCTCCCCTCAACCAAGCTGGCTGTTTTTTGAGTTATAACTTTTCTAATAAATTATAAGCTTTTTCCTTGAGTTTCATGAGCTATGCTAACAAGTTCTGCTGCCTGAGGGAGCATGGCAACCTCTGATTTATGTCCAATTAATAAGAAGCACAGATCACACCATGGAACTTGTAATCAACATTTGAAGTGGGAGACTGTCTATGTCACTGAGCCTTTTATCTGAAGTTAATTACATCATAAGAATCCTTGCTTATGTCTGGTGAGTTGGTTTGTGTGAGAAAACCCTACTCACCATAAATCTATTGTCAGAGACCAGTGCATGTAAGGGCACAAAACAGGAACGTCTCTCTTACAGAGCGTTTCCTCTTTGATGTCACCATGGACCATACTGCTTTGCCTTTCACAGTTCCATGCTGGCCACCTCCTTCAGGGGCTTTTCTAAATTACAATTATTCCCAAGTAGTCAGTCTCTTTCAATGTGGCTTACTGACACTGTGCTCAGGTTCATTCATTATGGGTATCAGGCTGACTGTATGTTGTCATAGTTACTCTGCCAGGGTCCTATATCCCATTAGAGGTTGGTCAGTGTGGATCTCAAGTACCCTCCCCCTCCAAGACTCATGTATTGGGAGTCCACAACTAACAATGGCATTCATGGGCCTTGGTGGCACCTTTAACAGGCAGAGCCCAGTGGAAGGAAGTTAGATCACTGGAGCTGTAACTTGAAGGTCACAGGTGCATCCCCTCTTTCCTTGCTTTCAGGTCACCGTGAAGCAAACAGCCTTGCTTCCCCCAGTCCCTTGCTTTGAGGTTATGACCCACGGCAGGCCTTAAGTAGTAAGGTCAAATCACCTGGGCTGAAGTTCCTAACATCATGAACCAGAATACATTGACTTCCGTTTTACTATGTGAAATTGGCTGGCCTCAAACTCACAATCCTCCTGCCTCAGAGTTTTGAGTGTCCATCTTCTCCTGGATAATTTGTGCCAGTGCACGAAAGCTAACATCAGGCTCACACCAACTCCCTCCCCTGCCTTGTCCATTCTTCCTCAGCTTGTATTTCCCATTTTCTGTGGTGATAAGAAACTTTCTCCAGGTGTCGTTACCTTGGTCAAGACTTAACTGGGAGTTCGGGTCTCCTCTGTCACTTCCTTGGGAACACAGTTTGTTCTGTAAGACTAACGTGGGAGGGAGAGGGAAGAAAAGGAGGAAACCATTAGAGATCTCTAACAGGGACAAGGGGCAGCATTTCCAAATTACACATAAAGGAATTTCAGTTTGACTTCAGTTACTCCAAGTTCAGTGGGTCCCACATGACAAAGTCTACCCATCATGTCCTGGGACAGAGAAGACTCTCACAAGGGAGACTTTATGTTTCCCATACAGAGAGGAGACACTCAAGGTCAGGAATAAAAACTTAGAATACACACTATGAGCTGTGTAGCTCTTCCAGGGTTCAAAGGGCAGAGAAGGTATTTGTCAAAACAGAGAAACATGGAAGCAAAACACGGCTTCCAGGCTGTCACAGTGTAAGGAGAAAGAGGGACTTTCCTGGATAGAAGGCTGGGATCTGGCACACACTAAAGGGAAGCTTCAGGATGGGCAAGCTCTACAGATGGGCGGGATGGGGTTGAAGAACTGGCCTGGCTCACACACTGTTGATGTCTATGAGCATGTGGTGCTGAACTAAGATGGATCCTGCAACCCACAGCTGAGATGTCACTCAAGGTGGGTGGTGGTCAACCCGATGGGCTGTTCTGTATATCATTATAAGGGCTCCACTGAAGAGACACAGCAGTGCCACCCTACTGGGGCTCAGTGCTCCCCGTCCTCTGCAACATAGCCTGATGCTGGTGGGAGTCTCATTGTCTTGTCAGTCTAAATCCCCAAACTGGCAGACCTCTGGAGGGTGTCGACATAGCTATCAGACATAAGTTTTGTGATGATGCGTAACATGTTAGTTTTTCTTTAAATACTATATCCCCAATTGCACTGTGCAATATCTACCACATGACAGATGCTTACTATACGGTTGTTGAGGGGGAAGAAAAAGAGGACTGTGATCTCAAAGGGTGATACTAAACTAATTACCACTTTGAAAGCTTTGGAGAATGTGTTCCAAATCAGGGTACGCTTTCACATTTTCTTCACTGAACAGTACCCCCAGGACCACCAGGTCAAGTCTCTTCTCCAGTTCCTCAAGGGCTCTGTAGACCACTTGTTCTACAGGGACCAGGTTTGTACAGGAATCTTGAAAATCCTTAAAAATATTAATCAGGGGAAATGTAAGCATTTGCTTCCAAGTCACTGCAGAGCCCTAGAAAACAATTATAGTTAGTGTACCTCGTCCCCTACATACATATCTTTTAATGAAAAGTTTTTTATTTGCGTGGCTACTTCGTGACATGAGTGAATATTTTTCTTTGAAAATGCTCACTAGTGACTTTGAGCTCCCTCCCTCAACTATATGACATGTATAGTTGTAAGAAGGCCACTTTTTGTAAGAAAGGAAAACTAGGGTTTGAGTTAACAACAGAGCTGTTGAGATGGCTCAGTGGGTTATGCACTTGCCACCAATCCTGATGATCTGAGTCCAGTCACTGGGATTCAGATGGTGAAAGGGGAGAACCAACTCGTCACAAATTGTCTCCTGACTTCCACATGTGCACAACAGGAGGCTCATCCACATATGCCCTCACACACTATATTCATCAGTAAATAACTAATAAATGCAATGTTTTTAAGTGTGGAGGGGCTGGAGTGATAGTTCCTGGTCAAGAGCACTTGCTGCTCTTTCAGAGAACCCTAGCTGGGTTCCCAGAACCCACTAACAACTCACAAACACCTGTAACTCCACTTCCAAGGGATTTTCTGGCTAATATGGGCACCAGGCACACAAGTGGTATGTACACATACATGCAGGCAAAATAGTTGCACACATAAAAATAAAAAGATGCATTCTTGAAAAACAAACAAAAAATGGCTAAGTAACTTGCCAGGTTGCCAAAGCTGTTCTGCTAAGTGGACAATTCCTGTCCTCCCACTAGTATTGATTTGGCTTGTAGGAAATGAGGTGTCAATTCCTTCTGACTGTAAACTCTACTGGAAGGCAACATATTCATAAGTCAAAAAAAAATACTAAAGAGCCTGGGATGATGATTCAGTGGTTAATAGTACTTGCTGCTCTTGCAGAGGTCCCAAGTTCAATTCCCAGCACCTCATGTTGGTTCACACCCATCTGTAACTCCAGTCCCAGGGATTTGCTGCTCTCTCTTCTGACCTCCAAAGGCACCAGGAACACCAGTAGTGCATATAGATACATTTAGACAAAATATTCATGCACATAAAATAAAAATAAAGATGTTTAAAAATTGTTCTAGCCAGACATTGGTGGTGCACTCCTTTAATCCCAGCACTTGGGAGGCAGAGGCAGGCAGATCTCTATGAGTTCAAGGCCAGCCTGGTCTACAGAATGAGTTCCAGGAAAGGTTGCAAAGCAATACAGAGAAACCCTGTCTCAAGAACAAACAAAACAAAAACAAAAATTGTTCTAATAAGACACTCTGTAGGTATTAATGTTCTCAAATCTAGGGTTTCAAAGTGGATGTTTATTAAAATAAAATGTGCCCACTGAAATTTCACTAAGTTAGTTCAATAAAATAATTCAATAGTAAATCAAAATTACTTTTGATTTTTGTTTTTTTTAATTCATTTTAGATCAAATTGCATGAACTACATGGTGTAAAGTGCATAAGATATTAAACATCTATGGAGAACCCTTGTTCTGACCTGGCTTATCTTCAACAACCCTGACTCCACAAGGGACCATGGAACTCTTTTCCATCACATAGAAGCAGGACCATCTCCTAAGGCCTCTGCTTCTTCTCTCCCTTAAAACCTGGAGAAATATTTATTTACATGATAGGTATCTCTCACAGGAAGCCCAGATTTTAAACCTGAGTCCAGAATTCTAATACATAATTGATAAAATTATTATTATAACCAATATCTCTACAAAATGCTATGAATACTTTGTTAATAATTCTTTGTCAAAAATTAGGTCCAGGGGCTGGAGTGATGTGTAAGTGACTGAGAGCATGTGTTAACTCTTGTAGAGGGCCTAGTTAGATTCCCAGTACCCATATCAGATAGTTCAAACTACCTATTAACTCCTGTTCCAGGTAACCTGGAACTCTTCTGATCCTGGTGGGCACCAGCAACAATGTGAACACACACACACACACACACACACACACACACACACACACACACGAAATGACAACTTTCTTTTAAAATTAAATCCAACCTTACAAACCTGACAGTCATGCAGTTTTATTCCAAGACATCAAAGTGTAACTTAATTGAGCACATGTTTACCAGATTAGGATGTAATAAACTTCACTTACCTGATACATTTTATCGGAGATGAGTTCATTGTCACGGAGGAATGCAAGAAATGGAAATGGCTTTTTTATTGCTTGTGAAATTGCCACTTTATATCGTTTGAAGTGGGGAAATAGAGTTTCAAAGGGAATCCCCTCTGTGTTCTCCTGTTCTGTGGACATCCTGGAGGGGACAGAAAAACCATGGGAAAATAGTCATCAGGACTACAGGACTACATGCTTGTAGAAATCAAAGAAAGAACATAAGTTACGTGGTCTTGAGTTAACCCAATAAATAAAATGAGTTAACGCCAATAAATTGGCAAGTTCTGGGATCAAGTTCATTATATCAGATGAAGAGTGATGGAAGAAGACTCCCAGCATCAACCTCTGACCTGCACACACACATGCACACACAAGCCATCACACATGTGAACGTTTGTGCATACATGCATGTATACTGCAATCCACACACATACAAAAATAAACATAATGTTAATTATGATTTTAAAAATCCACTACTAGGCATTCTCATACAGGTGAAAAGGAATAGTCTCACCAACTTACATAAAAATATTTCTGGTGGCATTATTGATAGCCTAAAAATTAGGAAGAGTAGAAATGGCCTTTAGTTGGAGGGTAGAAAAATAAAACTATACAATCCATACAATGAATTATTGTTTCTCAATAAAAAGGAACAAAATGCTCATACATTCTACAACAAGAATCTCAAAAATATTTTTCTTAATAAAAGAAGCCATACACAGAATTATACATAATGTATAATTCCGTTTCTATGAAATGCCCAGAAATAAAATCTATAGCAAGAGATGTATCAGCGGTTGCATGGACTAAGGGGACCAAGAATGACCTTTACACAGATGTGAGGGGTTCTTCTGGAGATGGGTAAACCTAAGTTCCAAACATGGACTGTGGTACTAATTGCATGGCTCTGTAAAAAGTCATTGGATTGTATATTCAAATGGGTAAATTTCTTTTGCAAATAAATTATACTTAAAAGCTGTCAAAATGAAAGAGGATATCCAAAAAAGAGCAGATTGATGAAGGTGACAGGTTGCATCCCCCCCCGGAGTACAGGGAAAGGTGAATATTGTAAATAATAAATGCACATTGTGTCCTAGTTGGTTTGGGTTTTTAAATTTTGTTTGTTTTGTTTTGTTTTTGTCATCTTGGCACAAGCTAAATTTATTTGATAAGAGGAACCTTAATGGACAAACAGAATGCCCTCATCTGTACGGCCTGTGGGCCAGTCTGTGGGGCATTTTCTTGACTGGTGATTGATGTGGGAGGGACCAGCCCACTGTGAGCACTGCACCTGCTGGTCCTGAGGTATATAAGAAAGCAAACTGATCCAAACAGTGAGCAGTAGTACTTTATAGTTTCTGCTTCAATTCCGGCCTCCAGGTTCCGGCCTTGACTTCTTTCATGATGGACTGTGATGTGAACGTGTAAGCCAAAAAAACCCTTTCCACCCCAAGTTGGTTTTGGTCATGGTGTTTATCACTGCAGTAGAACCCCTAACTAAAACGCTGTGTGACTGGATGTTTCCATGGTCTGAATAGGAATGTCAGGAGGTGACAGGCAGCACTGAGGTTAAAAAAGACATCTTGTTGATATCAATGACTTTAATCCCCATGCACAAATGACCAACCAGCAATTCCCCGCCACACTCACACACATGACAGCTGGAGGATGAGGCTGAACCTTCCCATGGCCACAAAACCCACATCAGAAGGGCCAGAGAAGGGGCATCGCTTTGACTTCATTGCCCCTTCATCAGGCTGGAACAGCCTTACCAAGATACTGACCCTGAACCTAAAGTTTCTCAACGGAGGGAAACAGAACCAAATGAGAGCATACAGCTCCCGTTCTGAGGTGCCTGAGGGAGGCCTCCCTCTGTTTTGCTCAATGAAGAACACTGACTGACTCTGCAGCAGACCACTGGAAAACAAAGAATGGGGCAGGGATGACAAGCTAGGGGTGGAGCTGTGTCTCCGCAGTAGTGGCACCCTGTGGGAGAGCCCAGTCAGCTGCTCTGAACTGCAAACCCAGGCCCATGTCTCCATCTGTGCAGGGGCCACTATGACTAGCCCTGCCAAGTAAGTAGTCCAGTCTGTCCCCAGAGCCAGCCTACTCCCCAGGACAATATGTTGGCCCTACCTCACAGCAGAGTATAGCATCGGCTCCATCCAATCAAGCAGCCCATTAGCAAGCCACCCCATCTGGCTTGGAGCCTAGCCTATGACCTCACCTAGGCCAATAGCCTAACTTCAGATTATGGCTTCTAGGTGTGAGAGACCAAGGATCCCAAACACTGATCCTGTCCAGGCTCAGAGAAAGCTAGCCTTTGTCACAGACACAATGGTAACCAAACTGACACTTTCCTACCTGAAGAGATTAGCTTTTCACACTTGTGGCTCAGGAGCATAAACTGTCAACTTGCCTGGTCTCTGAGCCTAGTTTATAAAATTGATGGATAGGAACCCAACCCAACCCTTCCACAAATGTCAGGCACTTCCTGTCATCCCACTTGGATGAAGCGAACAAGAATGATTCAACAGTGGCAAATGGGTAAGTTGGCTATATCATATGAATTGAAGGTAAAATGTAAAGCATATCACACCAACAGATGCAGAAGAGACATTGGGCAAACTCAACATGCTTTCTTGATAAAAATAAACCTTTCAAAATTCAGCCTAGAAGGACTGTACCCCAGGATAATAAAGATCAAATATGGAGAAGCCATAATATTATTCTCAGAGCAAAAATCTTAGAGCTTTGCCCTTTGAGGTCAGGGAGAAGGAAAGGGTGTTCACTCACAGCATTCTCTCTTTATACTGTACTAGATGAAAGGAAAGAAGGAAGAGAGGGAAGGAGGAAGGGAGGAAATTAGTAAAACTGTTGGAAAATAACATTATTTTTATATATATAGGAAATCCCAAAGAGTATACACACACATTGGTACTAATTAATAAATTCAATAAAGTTACAGGATATAAAAATCAACATATAAAATGATACATCTATAAAAGAAATTAAAAGGGTTACTTTAATTTTAAAAAGAAAAGTGTTTGTGTGAGAGAGACAGAGACAGAGAGACTGACTTGCTGTGAAATAATCCTTTTGTACACTGTGAAGATTTCTCACTCAAATTAGTTTAATAAGAAGCTGATTGGCCTGTAGTCAGGCAGGAATGACAGGTGGACAACCAACTAGAATAATAATGGAAAGAAGAAGGGTGGAGTCAGAAGAGATGCTGGTCAGCCACTGAGGAAGCAAGGCATGTAGAAAATGAGGTCATAAGTCATGAACACATAGCAAAACATAGATATGAAATATGGGTTGATTTAAATGTGTTAGCTAGTAACAAGTCAGAGCTGTTCACTGGGCATTTGTAGTTAATATTAAGTCTCTGAGTGACAGCAGGACAGGAAAAGTCCACCAACAAATGGCACCCAACACGAGGCATAGATCCACACAAAACCTAAAAAGGCGTTAAAAATGTTCTAAACACACACACAAAAAACAGAGCCAGACGCAGCTTTCTGATCTCATACCAGCCACAATGCAGAGACGCGACTCCTGATCACTGTCTGTGAGATGGAGCCAGTCGCCAACAGCCATGAGCTAAGCAGCGGTGGGTTCTCAAAGTTTCTGACATGGTTTGCCGTACAGAGATGCTTCTCCCAGCCACTGCCTTCAGGCTTGAGCTGTGAGCACCAGCCCGCTGCATGCATGGTGGGCTTAGGCAGTTTGCTCATACAGACAGAAAAGGCTACAGATAAACAGTAAAAACAGATTCAGAAAGAAAAAACAAACCTCTAAACCACTGCGGTGTGTTTAAAAATATATGTAGGCTGGGGAGAGAAAAGAAAAAGGGTAGAAAAAGTTCTTAAACGAGGAATAGAGTAATAAAGAATAATCAGTCACATAAAAATGGGAAATACACAGAGAGTCTGGACACTATACATTATTGTGCTTTCTTTGAATTTTTTGACTGCTAACAAACACTGGATTATAAAAACTGATATATTCAACCAACCTATATATTTTAAGAGGTAATGCTTTTATCTCCACAGGAAATGAGAGGTTGTGATTCATTTCAGGTTAAAGAAAATCAGGTTTGATTGAAGAAGACCTCCTGAAAATCCTGGCTACAAACACAAAAAAATAAACTTACAGGAACTACAAGACAGGTGATGTATATTTTACCTGCTCAAATACATAACAAAAATTAATCTTTAACTTCCTTGTGCACAATGCAAAATCTATACTTGTACTAATACAGATATGTATGTCACCTTTAAAAGTTTATGTTATTTCCAGAGCTAGGGGACCAGACACTAATCAAAATGATGGTGATTTAGCATCCAGAAAAGCCTCTAGGCTACTGAATGACATGATCCAGCCTCGAAGAATACTACAGCCAAGACTTAACAAATATCCTAAATTTTGTCAGCACCCCCAATCAATAGGAAGTAGTCTAGAAAACTGCTCCTAAATTCCCAAAATTGAGTTGTGGGTATTTATTATCATTTAAAGGGGGTTGGTTACAAGTTGTTATGTAGTGGTCAGAGAAAAAGCTGAACAAATGAGATTAGATTCAAGGATCTCTTTCTGAAAAGAAAAAGGGGGATATAGAAAAGACAGGATAAAAGCATAAATTATTGAATCTACTTTAAAACCAAAGAACCAACTACTATTTTCAAGTTTTTTTACATTGGTTTGGACTTTTGTGTATTGTTACAGATTTAAAGTTAATTTTTATACTACATGTATGTTTCTAATCTTGTTTGGGTTATTGTGCTTATGCAATTCATTTAAAATATAATGTATAGTTAAAAATACATTGATGATTAATAGTCATCTAATATAGTCAAACTTATATTCATGTCAGATAGATTTGATAGTCATAAACAGGTATATTAAGATAGATGGTCTTCAAGAACTTCAAAGAAATACAGAACATGGCATTTAATACGTTTAATAACCTAAGGTTTTTCATGACAGTGAGACACATCTGCTACTGGCAGCACCAATCCACTGCAGAGATGATGATGGGTGTTGAAAAAGTCCATATGGAGTTTGGTTTCTTTATGGCAAAAGTTAGCCATATGGGCAAAGAAACTGACCCTTGCCTCAATTGCTGACAGTTACTGTCCAAACTGGACCAGCAGAATGTAAGTAAGGTGCTTGCCAAGACAAGGTAGGACAGTCCTTCAAAATTCCCTGCTTCACAGGAAAGTCTATCAGATGTGCTACAGTTGGATGCTCCAACTTTACAGAGGAACTTTGAGTGACACTTCAGATGGCCTGATGTCCCTGTAATTAGGTAACATTTCATCCTATTGGGGGCTTTGATGGAGCTGAAGACTATATAGTTAGAATTATAGGGGTTTTTTAGTGATGAAAAGAAGATAAATTAGATATAAGATCTTATACTCACCCAGGTAAGATAGATATTTGAGTATTTTCGCCAAACACAAATGGATTGGGTATTTTTTACTTCAATTCTTACTTAATAACTGCTTTTGTTATATGTAATTTTACTAAGCTAAAATTAAAACGTTCTTTTTAATTAGACAAAAAGGGGAGAATGCTGGGAAATAACCCTTTTGTACATTGTGAAGAATTGTCACTCTTATCAGCTTAGTAAAAAGAGGATTGGCTGGTGGCCAGTCAGGGATTGCAGGTGGGACAACCAAACTAGGAGAATGATGGGAAGAATGACAGAGTTAGGAGAGAAGCCAACCAGCCACTGAGGAAGCAGGACCTGTAGAAAATGAGGTAACAAGCCATGAGCCACGTGACAAAGCATGCATAAGAAATACGGGGTAACTTAAATGTAAGAGCTAGGCAGTAACAAGTCTGAGCTATCAACCAAGCATTTTCAATTCATAATAAATCTCTGAGTCAAATAAAAACAAACCAAGCAAAAACTCATGCCAGGCCTGATGGAGCAGGCTTATTGGCCCAGCTACTCAGAAAGTTATGGCAGGAGAATTACAGTTTCAAGGTCATCCTAGGCAGCTGATTGAGACTATGTCTCAAAATTAACAAGTAAAAGGGGTGGGGCTTGGATGGAATTCAGTGGTAGAGAACTTGCCTGCTAAGTGGAAAGCTCTAGGCTAAAAACCAGGCACTGAAAGCAAAAATACAAACCCCCAAAGGGCTTTGGCTATGTCAGTGGCTTCTGGCTTTGATTTATCTGTGGCTGCATCTTTCATACACGATCAATACTAAAATTCAAATTTGAGCTTTTGTGGAAGACAAAACTCAGCAAACACACAGTGCAATATATCCACACAGGAAGCAGCATACCCACAGTTCCCGGGGATATTTAGGAAATGTGCGGAAGAAGGGATAACATCTGATTAAGGTTAGTGAAGACTAAACCAGTGGTAGGAGAGAGAATTTACCAGCCAGTGCACAGGAAAAGCAGCCCATTCCCCACTGAAGAGGGAGAAAGCAAATGAACACACATCTCTGTGGCCTCTGCATTCTTTGGCTGAGAGAGGGAAGACTCCTATCTCATTAGCTATTGGCAGGGAAGTGCATTGACCTGCCTCCTCACAGGCCATTTGGCAGCATCTATGAGCAAGTGTCCTCTAGTGCCCTTTGACTCATTTACTCCTTTTTGTTTGTTTATATACAAGGTGAACGAAATTAAGCAAAATGAATTATATGGCCACTGTTCTTACGGCTTGTTGGTGACAGTGAATAGTGGCAGTGACCAAAAAGTCATCAAAAGCAGACTGCCTTAAAACTCACGGTGAGGACTGGCAAGATGTCTCATAATAAAGAGGCCAGCAACCAAGGCAGATGGCTTGGGTTGGACCCCCAGAAACCAAAACGTAGAGGCAAAGAACCAACTCCTCTATGTTGTCTCCTGACTCCACGACATATTCATAGAAGTACACACTTAAGCAAAGCTAATAAGAAGTCTGAATCACGGGGTTCATATAGCAGTCCTCTGAACAGCGGGTAGCTAGTAAAAAGAATAGAGCAAATGCACATACATTATGGTGAGGACTTCACTAAGGTTCCTGCTTTTTAAGTAATCTAAGGCTGAAAACACAGAATAATAATACAAAATGGAACTACACACTACATATTTATGAAAACAAGTTATGCACGGACAAGCATAGGAAAAGACAAAGAGACTAAAGAGATAGGTCAGCGATTAAGAGCACTGGCATTCATTCAAAGGATAGGAGTTCAGTTCCCAGCACCCATGTCTGGCAGCTGTCATACAAGTGTCATAAGTATCTGTAATACCAACTACAGGAGATTGGGCACCCTCTTCTGGCCTCTGAAGGCACCTGCCCTGGTGGCTGTCTCTCTGTGTGTCTCTGTCTCGGTGTGCCTCTCTGAAACTCTCTCTTTTTTTTTTTTTTTTTTTTTTTGGTTTTTTCGAGACAGGGTTTCTCTGTGGCTTTGGAGGCTGTCCTGGAGCTAGCTCTTGTAGACCAGGCTGGCCTCGAACTCACAGAGATCCGCCTGCCTCTGCCTCCCAAGTGCTGGGATTAAAGGCGTGCGCCACCAACGCCCGGCCTCTCTGAAACTCTCTTAATGTCTGTCTCTGTCTCCTCTCTCTCTCTCTCTCTCTCTCTCTCTCTCTCTCTCTCTCTCTCTCTCTCTCTCTCTCTCTCTCTCTCTCTCTCTCTCTCTCTCTCTCTGTCTCTCTGTCTCTCTCTCTCTCTCTTTCTCTCTCTCTCTCTCTGTCTCCTCTCTCTCTCTTTCTCTCTTTCTCTCTCTCTCTCTCTCTCTCTCTCTCTCTCTCTCTCTCTCTCTGTCTTTCTCTCTCTATGTCACACACTAAATTACATATGTTTAGGGAGATAAGGAAGATCCAGTTATGGTGGTGCACACCTTTAATCTACTACTGGGGAGGCAGAAGCAGGTGGATCTCTGTTGTGAGTCCCAGGCTAGCCTGCTCTACATAACGAGTTTCAGGACAGCCTAGACTACATAATAAAAAGAATAAAAGAGCCTGTCTAGTATATGTATATGAAGACTGAACCCAAGACTAGGAGCTGTGGGAGTGTGTATGGGGGACAGTCAAAGAGGTTTTACCCTTTCTGTATTTCCACAAGCTTATAAACTACATTCTAATATGAAACCAGCTTGGTGGTGCAGGCCAGTGATTCAGAAGATCAAAGCAACAGGATCACAAGTTCAAGGTCAGCATGAGACACTTAGCAAACCTTGATTTTAAAATACATAGAGATATATAGTCAAGCATAATCAAGGCCCTGGGTTCAACTACAGTACTGGATAATAATGTCTGACTTCCTTTGCAGTGAAGGACACACTGACTTTATTATTTCTGGGTAGCACATCTGAATCACTACGGCTGGAGCAACAGAGGTCTACCATCTCCTTGTCAGAGCTGACATGGACCTAGAACATGTGAAAATAAAATCCTTCAGCTTGCCCTGACCTTTGCTACCAAGGGCCATTCCTCCCTCAGATCAGGAAATGAGAGTGGGAGCTCAGAGCAGGAGTGAGCCTGGGCACAGCTTCCTAGGTGACAAGTCCTGCCTGACAGGTAGGAGACCATGATCGGCAGGGGCAGCTGTTTACCCTGAGCCTCTGCTGTTTGATCTTCTTCCCTGAGGTGACTTAGTGAAAGCAGAGAGAGCAGAGGGGCTGACAATACTCAGGGTTCATGAGGAAACAACAGAACCAAGTCACAGAGGTCCCCAGGAGTCCCTGACAGCTGTGACCAGAGTCTCCTTCTGACAGCTGACAGTGGTGACAAGCAAGAAAGTTGTGACTGTGTGTATAATGGCAAGCTGGCCTTGCCCGCAGGTATCTTACTGAGATTTAAAAAATGACAGATGTTCTCTGTCTGTCTGTCTGTGTTCTCTGCCTCTCTGTCTCTCTCTGTGTTTCTGTCTCTGTCTCTCTCTGTCACTCTTTGACTCTCTCTCTCTCTCTCTCTCTCTCTCTCTCTCTCTCTCATCTCTCCTCTCTAACTACAGTTCAGAGCTTCCTCATATCCAAGGGTTTGCCTGACTGAAGCTGCAGTCACTGAACTCAAGACATGAAATCACCCATGTTGTCAGAGGGCAAAGTTACAGAGGGAGAGAGACCCACCTGGTGCTGAAGCTGCTATTTTCCCTCTTCCAACTCTTGCCAGGGCCTGGGAGGGAGAGCTCTGATCCTGGGTCTCCTCACAGGATTCCAGACTGAGTGCTCTGGCCCACAGCTGAGAGCAGGAAGTCAGCCTGAGCACCAACTCAGCAGGGAGGGCTCCGCCCTGATGGGGAAAAGAAAAACGAAAGTATTTCTTTAATTTCAAGTGTACTGCTATGAGATACTGTCCTTCCTTTCCTTCTTTCCCGAAATGTGTTGGCAAGGAGGAGAAAAGGAGACCTAGTGGATTGCAAAGGGGCACACCAATGACAAGCATGGCCACTTCCTGGGAGTGCCTTACTTTTGCAAATACACAAAAGAAAACCCCAAAGCAACAGCAACAAAAATCCCTCCCCTTAAACCCAAACTATTCTCAGGTACCTCTGTGTGTAGGGGAGCAGAGTACACCCAGGGTTGCCTCAATCCTTTTTTTTTTTTTTTGTCTTGTCCCTGGCTGAGGTGGTTTGGGTGGAGGAGAGACAGGGAGGAAGGAGCAAAATCTTTGAAGCTATCTCTCAGGCTAGCAGGAGAACCCAGAGCTGGACCCTGACCAAGAGAAGCTTTCCCTCAGACCTGAAGAGAAGTGCAGTTGTGAGGGAGATGCCCCAGCTTGAAAGACACCTGGGGAGAGCAATGTCTCTGAGGAGTTCCCATCCCAGCCTAGAACTCCTCTGAGGGTGGAGGAAGCTGCCACAGTGGCCACCAGGGAGGAAGAACTTGTCCACCTCCTGAGATGTGGGCCTGAGAGAGATGGGCAGACACCTGCAGGGAGTCCTTCTAGGAAGCCCCCAGGGTCATGAGGACACATGAGCTCCCTCTCTCTTCCTCCTTCTGGGAAGACTTTCTCTCAGGAGCTTGGAGGACTGGGGTGAGGCTGCACCCTGTCAGGTCTCCCAGCGGGCTTCTTGCCTGCACAGACCATGGCTCTACTCTCATCGCTTGGCTCAAATGCACAGGGACAGGCTGGCGTGGGGCTGGAGTGGGCATGGCTGGCAGCAGAGCCTGAGGCCAGGCCTGGGGTTAGAGTTCAGGGCGCCTTTCATAGACTCACGTCTTAGCCAATTCTACTTCTACCAGGAATAGAGCATTCTGACATGATTTTATGTTTTAAAGGATGTGTATGTTTCTGTATGGGTATGTGCACATGAGTGCAGTGGCTGATGATACCAGAAGACAGTGCGGGATCCCTGGAGCTGGGTACCCATGGGAGCTTCTAAGCCAAGCTATAGTGACAACAGTAGTATCTTTGAACCTTGCCTGCAAGAATCAAGTATCAGAAGTTTGGTCCTTACCAGTTGAGTTAATTTGTCAGATATAACCTGAATTTACCATGTATCACTCCAATAATACTGTAGAGTAAGAGCCTAGGGACAATTTTTAATTTCCCCAATAAATCAACCAGCCGTCTCAATACAAGACTCTAGGCAATGCAAGACTTTCAACGGCTTCTCTGAGCCAATGTGTGTTGGGATCCAATGCATATATGTCACTGGTTCTCTCCCATTCTTGGAGACCCAGAGGAGTGGCACCAGGAAGAGCCAGAAGCCACCACTGTATCGTCTTGTGACTATGACTGGCACTACTGGATCCTCAAGGAGGTTTTCTGCATCCATCCCTCCTAGTCTGTCAGGTGTAACTCCTGGGAGGTGAGGAGCACAGGAAAGAGCGTATGGCCCCACCTACCTACCCACGGCAGCTCTGGAAGGATGCCACGCAAGGGTCATTGTCAGTATTCTGACATCTGTATTGGTCGACCCTTAGGGTCCCAGGATACATCCTCATCTGCAGCCCCTAAGAGCACCCCCTGTGCACGTTCACTATACTCTTATAAAGGCCCACCTTTCTCCTGGCCCCCCTCTTTCTCTTCTGCCGCTCTTGTCCCCAGGAATGAGTCTCTGACCCCTCTCTGCCCCTCTCTCTGCCCCCTTCTCCTCCATTCTCTGCCCCTTCTCTCACCTCTTCCAATAAACTTCCCATGTGAGTCCTGTTGTATGGCATGACTCCTTCCTCTTTGTTTGCTTTTTATTATTATTAGCATGCACTGTCTTCCAGGACCGCCTTAAACTGGAGAGTCCTCTCTTGAAATCTTCATCTCAGCTTCTCTCTAAGTCCAGTTGTGTGTTGAAGAAGTGCTTGCTGGTTTGGGCAATAGCAAAAAGTATGTTTTCAGTTTTAATGAGAGATCCAAGGAACTCTAATGCCTCTAACCCTTGCCCAAGGACAGATACTTCCTGAAATACAAGAGGCTATTGCTTATGGGACATAACAAGCCACAAGATTTCAGTCCCCTAAGCAAGTTTGTTTGATCCACTGCACCAGATGTGCTTGGTCACCTGTGGGCTGGAGGTATGTAGGCAAAGAATATGTCAGGACCTATGCTTGCCCCTGATTGGGTGTAATGGGAAATATGGTGATTTATGGAGTTGCTTTTTTAAGACTCTGTAAAATGTGACTCATTACCATTTTCTGGGAACCCAGAAATGGACCCAGTCAGAGCCCATGATCCTGGCTCTTATTAAATTAAAGCTTGCTTCAAATGTGGCTCAAAATTATGGTAGTGGTCTTATTCTTGCCCTGATGGATTAACACAAAACCAGAATATTTTATTCTCCTATATCAACAATTCTGCCAGTACTGTAAAGGGAAACTTGGGTGTGAGATGTTCAGGGAAGGGGGAGACCTTTAATGGCATGCTTCCAGAGCTGCCATGGGATAAGTAGGTAGGCCACAGGTAGAAGGAAATGAGGAAAGAGACAGGTTTAGGCTTAGGGCTTTATAGACCAAATTTTTATCATTTTCCCTACCGTTGGTTCTAAACTGTTGGGGAAGTCCTGTGTATATGTCAATAAATTACTGCTGGCCAATAGGAATCTAGATAGGTGGGGCTAGGAGTCCAGGAGGATTCTGGGAAGGAGAAACACAGGAGAGTTCGAGATGTAACGCCATGGGGTAGGAGCCCGGAACTATTCTCCGGTAAGAGACATACTTAGATTAACAATTATGGGGTAATTACTTAAGTCAGAGCTAGCCAGTAAGAAACAAGCAAGGCCAACAGCTTCATAATTAATACAGCGTCTTGTGTGTTTATTTGGGGACTACAAAACGGCAGAGCCCAGGCAGCTGGCGGGTGATAAACCAAAGCGGCTAGCAAAGAAAAAGCTTCTCTTTACATAAACCATCTGACAGATAGGAAAAATGAAGAGACAGAATGGGGATCAAAACACTGTTGGGACTAGGGAAGTTTCCACAGTTAAGAGTGTGTTTTGGCCTTCCAGGCCCCAAACTCCGGCAATCCCAGCTAGGTGAGCTTGGGTCTCCAGGGGGACTCTCCCCATCCTCCGCCTGACCCCCATCCCCTGGATTTTCGATCTTCCAGGGCTGTTCCTGGCATCCAGAAGACCCGCCCACACAGGAAAGACATCAGCCCTTCCAGGCCCCAAACTCTGGCGATCCCAGTCGGCTTCAGGAAGGAAGGAGACCAGAGGAGACAGAAAGACCCCACCAGCACCCACTGGAAGAAGAAATGGGAAGAAGACAGAATAAGAGCTCACTCAGCAGTCAAAAGACCAACATGATTCCACCAGAATCTAGGGAACCAATGCCAACAAGACCTGAAAAGCACTACATAGATGAAGCAGAGGAGACAGACCTTAAAAATCATTTTATGAAGATGATAGAGACCCTCAAAGAAGAAACGAGGAAATCCCTTAAAGAAATAGAGGAAAAAACAAATAAAAAAACATGAAATGGGGGAAAATTCAAGAAATAAACAAATCTCTCAAAGAATCTAAAGAGTACCAAGAAAAAACAACCAAACAAATGAAGGAAACAACTCAAACAGTTGAAGGATTGAAAGCTGAAATAGAAACAATAAAGAAAACACAGAACAAGGGGATGCTGGAAATGGAAAAGCTGGGTAAATGATCAGGAACTACAGATGCAAGTATCACCAAGAGAATACAAGAGATAGAAGAGAGAAACTCAGGTGTTGAAAACTCATTAGAGGATATACAGTCATCAACCAAAGAAAACCTCAAAACCAATAAATCCCTAACACAAATATCCAGGAAATATGGGACACCGTGAAGAAGCCAAACCTGAGAATAATAGGTATAGAAGAAGGCGAAGAGATACAGCTCAAAGGCACAGAAAACATATTCAAGAACATCATAGAAGAAAACTTCCCTAACCTAAAGAAGGATATGCCTATGAAAATACAAGAATCTTTTTTTTTTTTTTTTTGGTTTTACGAGACAAGGTTTCTCTGTTTTGGAGGCTGTCGGTCCAGCCTGGCCTCGAACTCACAGAGATCTGCCTGCCTCTGCCTCCCGAGTGCTGGGATTAAAGGCGTATGCTACCAATGCCCGGCTGAAAATACAAGAATTTTACAGAACACCAAATAGGCTGGACCAGAAAAAGAAGTCACCTTGCCATATAATAATCAAAACATCAAACCTACAGAATAAAGAGAAAATATTAAGAGCAGCTAAAGAAAAAGGCCAAGTAACATATAAAGGCAGACCTATCCGAATTACACCTGACTTCTCAATGGAAACGATGAAAGCCAGAAGATCCTGGACAGATGTCCTACAAATGCTAAGGGAACAAGGATGCCAGCCCAGACTACTATATCCAGCAAAGCTTTCAATTACCATAGATGGAGAAAACAAAATATACCATGACAAAGCCAGATTTAAACAATATGTGTCCATGAATCCAGCACTACAGAAAGTGCTAGAAGGAAAACTTAGATCCAAGGAAGATGACTACACTCAAAAAGACACAGGCAATATATAATCCCACTTTACAAAACACCAAAAGGAAAAGGGAGGAGAAACTATACAAAATAACTTCACTACCAGTAAATCAAGCACAAACAAGAATCATCAATCAATGGTCATTGATATCCCTCAATGTCAATGGCCTCAACTTGCCTATAAAAAGACATAGACTAGCAGAATGTATACAAAGACAGAACCCATCCTTCTGCTGCATACAAGAAACACATCTCAACATCAAAGACAGACGGTATCTCAGGGTAAAGGGTTGGGAAAAGATTCTCCAATCAAACGGACCCAAGAAACAAGCAGGTGTAGCAATCCTAATATCTAACAAACT